CCCCCCCCCCCCTTCCGCCTCCCCATGGTTGGTTTTTAGGGGATGCGAGTGTTAGATCTGAATGCTAGTCCGGAGTTGACCTCTCGTGGCGTTGTGGTTATGTCAGGCAGAAATCGTTGGGCCTCTCGGCGCGTTGTGCACTTGTAGTGGAGGGATGAACAGGGGTGCGTTTCATCATCTCCGGCAAGCCCTATTCGCCGGTTTTCCCACTCGTTACGCATGTACTACAAGAATGCGTTCGTATGTATAGCATGTGTGGTGGCGCCCCTTGTCTTATGGATGATCGACATCGTACGGTACCAGTGGTTTGCGAGAGAGACAACAAGCAGCACGAACACGACAATAGAAAGAGCGCCCATTGTTGTTTCGCAAAATTATCGAACTGGCTACTTGTCGGGAAGATGTGTTTCAAGGACACGACGGCCCACGGTGCGGACTCTCGTCTTGCCATTGTCGTCGTTCCTTGGTTCCTGACGTACGTGTCTGCTTCTTTTGCTCCGTTGTAGGGGCACGTGCCGCGAGCGTGTGGAGGCGATGACGTCAGGGGATGATGGGCCATTCCTTTTCATCATGAACATACAGGTAAAAGCTGCGTGGTTCTTTTACGACTGCATCTCCGAGAATATCGAACGCCTCTTTAATCACTTGTTTTCCAGGGAAGCTCCGCGAGTATGTATGGACCCGAGACCTTCTCGCATGCTCCTCTGTCGCGCTGCTGCCGCGTGCACCGACCACCACTCGTGTGTCCACCTTGCCTTATATCTCGTGTCTTTCATGACACTTGCCCTTTCCGCCTACTGCGGCGTACTCCGGGGAATACAAACAGGTAAGAGGAACGCCGCCGGTGTCGATGGTGGCCTACTGGGCGGTCGATCGGCACGGCCTGGAAGAAGCGAAAGACGCAGCAACAGCGGCCGGTATTCTGCAAGGCGTCCCCAGTGATCACACCAACACAACGGAAGCAGCAGTGGACGAGACCGACACAGAAAACGGATTGGGGCAATCCGTCGGCGAATCGAACGGGCTGACGGGGGCTGGGCCACAAAAAGAGGGGGACGTTTCTGGACGGGAGAGGGTGTTCTCGAGGATCGTTGCCAGGTAAATATTTGCGTACTTGGTCTGTGACTCCATCCATTCGATCGATCGCAGTATCTACACCCCCTCAGGATTTTTCTTCTACACTACTGAAGAGCTTCCGTACGCGGCAGGTCAGGCTTTCGGACATCTTTTGAACCCTTCCTGTTATAATATTGTCCACTTACAGCGTAAACCCGCCTGGTAATCATTCCGGTCCTGCTTTGTTGTTGGACAACCAGCAAACTCTGCAACCCGGTCCATTCGCTAGGATCTCGACGTATTCCTTGAGAAGATCGCAAAGTTCTACCCCCGAAGCCGTTGTCATCGACAACATGATGACATAGTCGCGAAGGTCGTGATACATTGTATGCAACAGGCACTGCACATCAAACTTGCCAGGTTTCGAACTCCCCTTCCGCACGGGTACCACAACAGGTCCATAGAACCATGCCCATGTATCGTTGAAACGGCGGGCGTTATCGTCCCATCTGCACGCTGCTAGTTTCAAGACGACCACCACTGCTGCATCATTAATTTAATTATACCGAAGGATGTTTCCCCGCTCATTGTATTTTTTGTCGTTTGTACCAAGTTATATATTGTGATACGTAGCTTACCCCAACTCTGTTCAGTGCTTTCTCCGTCCCCCCCGTTAAACGGGTGCGGTGGATGTTGACTCTCGCCCGCCTCCAACTTGCTCGGCCTCCGCTGTGCTTGCGTTTGGTCGCAGCTATGCTGACATTCCCGTGAGCACCTTCGGGGGAGACGAGTGCAGCATGATGGACACGGCACCGCCCCCACCCTACTCCGACGAGCGCAACACCAGGTTTAAACTTATTCCCAGGGTTATTGGGGGACCGTGGATGGTGAGGAAAGCGGTAGGCTCCACGCCAGTCCTGCTGGGTACCAAAATCACTCACAGGTGTGTTGCGTATCGCCCTTGCGTTGACCCCTCTGATGGGCGACGTATGTAGCACATGCTGTTGGTCGACGAAGAGTTCGTTGGTAGAACCTGCGCCCCTACGGAACAAAACGATGGCTGTTCACTTGAAAATCCTTTCATGCTACCGGTGGCGTCCACTGAGCCCCGAATGTCGAATGATTTTATTCCCGTTTCTGTGGTCACGTTTGATGTTGATGCGGGGGTTGTTTGGATTGGTACTATAGCTGGGCCATGTCCATGCCAAAGCCGAACACTGGTGCGTGCTGGCATGTTGCCTAGTGTCTGCAGCCCGTACCGAGACGAATATTGAATGCGGGAATTGCGATCGTGCTATCTCCTGCTAACGCGCCCAGCCAGACAAAATGAAACTCCGTACATGCGTCCCGGCACACAACACAGCGTGTGGTTTGGTTTTTGAGCGTAGGTACTACCGAGGCGAGCGCTACGTAGAAACGGACATGGACACCGGCTCTTCCCCCGCGGCGGCCAGCTTGTGCAGCCGGTGCAGAGGGCTGAGTCGTAAGATCGACGTGGAGCTGGGGATTGTGCTTCAGGTGACACAAATCGAACCCAAACTGTTATACAGCCTGTTGCACGGCGTTTTTGTGTTGGCGGTTTGAAGGTTGTGCCGCGTTGTGTACCCGCAAGTCGACGCAGGGTTATCGTACTGCTGGGTGGTGTCAGTGGCGGTGGAAATCTGTGCTGATCCCAGCAAGAGCCTCCCTTCGAAAACCTGTTGTGCTACGTATTAGTTCGGAATCATGGCGGACGGCACGATGCAATGTTTCGCGTCTTCCCAACGCACAACCAAATTGTGGGCACGGCGGTAAAGGCATAGTACCAGGGCGTCTCGCCTCGGGCGTTGCATTTGTTCACGCTTTTGTGATGTCTCCGAACGTTATTTTTTGTTGGTACGAAGCAGTTGATTGGGTAGTCAGCGTCGTGCTGGAGAACATGCTTCCGTGTTTGTGCATGTGGGATGCAGACGGTGCACGTAATCTGGCTTTGCACGGGTGCGGGGATAGCTGTCCCTGAGTGTTCAAAATCCATCGAACATGGCATCACACCGGAAATGGTGGAGGAAGTAGCAGCCAGGTTGACGTTCCAACGTTCTTGAAGTGGAAACAGACAGCAGCGCAAAGACAATATCGACGACGTTATCAACAACAATGGTAACGACGACGAGGACAGTATCAATATCAACAACAGCCACCCAACTGCGCTCCCCTTTTATTGTTCTTCAGGCAAATTCCGCGCATGAGCTTCCGGAGGCTCTGCTCGGCGCCGTTCGACTCAGCGGGTTTGGAGTGGAGGACCCTGACCTCCAGACCAAGCTATACCCGTGACCCGTATATCTAGAGATGGCACCATTTCATCCAAACAAAATGTAGGTCCGGGCGTCCAATGCGCTTTCCGTCAACGTGAATCGGGGTGTTAATTTATGGTGTGGTCTCTTTTAGAGGCTGGTACACAGAAAGGTGTCCTTCGGTGGCTGGATGCGGCTAAGAAGTCCACTGAATGTAGCGGTTGAGGGTAGGGAATGGGTACAGCTGCATGACCTAGAGGCTTGACAGGCTCTGGCAGCAGCTATTTTCTGGCTGCAACAGCAATCGTTTAGAGAAGCAATAGAAGCCGTGGTGTTTTGTGTATATGCAATACGCCCAGTGCAAATTATAAGTAATTATTATGCCTGGACGCATCCAAGCAAACAGAGGAATTAGTCGATATAGGTATTGTGTGTTGCTTGTAGTATCTAGATCGACACGAGAGGAAAGACAAAACAAAGTGAGGCAAACCACCAGACGGCAACCTGGCTAGGCTGGCTGCCGTTGAGCCCCTTCCGCCATGTAGTTTTGTTGGAGCAACAACGGATCTTGGTCCAAAGGACCGAGAGGGCATGTTGAAGCCGTGTTTCTGTGGCATTGACAGCGAGTCGAGCACGACACGTTTACGGTGGCGACAAACCCCGCCTCAGGTCTCCCATGACGTTTAAAACTACTTGCGATGCGAGGATACTCGAAGGGAGGCAGAGGGAACTTGCGAGACCTTCACACAGCTTGCCGCACGCTCTGATATTCTTAGAGATGCCGCCTACGAAAGCATTCATCAAGATAGCTGCTCAGCGAAGACAAATGAAATTTTCCCCTGATTCCCAAACACACACCATCGCAAAGAAAGCCCGTGCCGTCAAGGTCAATTCTCTAACAACCCTACACCGATAACCGTCACACCCTGCAGTTGTGAACACAGACGATTCCGCGCGCGATGATCGATATTTGCCGACTTAAGTCTAGGCTTTGAACCCGCAAATAATGAGATCAATCCTCCATGTTTTGGACAATGTGGGTATCCATTTAATTCATGGCTTCTCTTCGACGCACCCATGCTCCCGTCGAACAAGTCCCTTCCACGACCGAGAGGCACTGCAGTAGGGTAGTGTTTATCACTGACACGCGTCCGGGCTCTTCATGCAAGTGAGTAGAACGCGGCCAACGCACGTGGCTGCAGCCACCACATTGCCCGGGTCTACAGCAATTTCTGAAGACAACCAACCACACGCGATTTGCTGCACTGTTTCCAAACTACAGCAAGACCAACTCAACACCGAGAGCCAAGTGATCCGAGCCCCACAACTTGTTGGGAATGGGTCCGAACTCGCTCCAGGCGGGTTGATCGGTCGCGGAATTCTCTACCTGCCGATCAGGTACTCCTTCCTGTCCATCACTGCTTTGCTCTAGCTCTTCTCCTGAAGATGAGGTTTCCCTTCCCTCCGTCAAGTGCGCTCCTGGCGGAAACGCCAGTACACCTGATATTGCCAGGCCGCTATCCTTCTCCCCGGTCGACACGAATATGTGGTCGATGATTCCGCTAAAGGAGCTGCAGTGCGCCGGACGTTCGGGGAAAAATTCGTGGGGAGTGTCGGCTCAAAAATCACGTGGTTAGGAGTCAAAGAAAGAATGGCATAAGAGTATTACATGCAGGTGAAATAAAGTAGTGTTGTGTCGGGGGTGCCCCTTAGCTTGCGCCCCAACCGCCTGCAAGAACACGAATGTCGAGAAATCGTTCGATTTACTCCGCCGACGGTGGTAACAGCACCGATGCTTTCAGCCGCCCACAACGCATGCGTGGTGATGAACCAACTTGGCTGCGCGGTGTGAAACGTATTGATCAGCGCTCTGGGTGAAGCTGCAAGTGTCTGCGGCCCAACGCCTGCTGTTAACCATGAGTACCGCACGCACGGAGGACTATTTGCCAACCAACAACCCGTGCTGAATCTGTCCCCCAACCTCCTGGACGAAAGTACCTTGTTTTTGTCGTGAAGGAAGGAGACACGGCGCCCCTATCCCGGTACGCGTCCTCCAACGTGTCTCCAAAGCCGCTGACCCACTCGCCAGACGGGCGATGTTCTGCGGGGATAACTGGAGCTCTCCGTGTTCGGCGATTTCGCTGGGGCGTCCATTGCTCCCCCCCCCCCATTTTCAGCAGTTCTTGCCTAGAGATCTCCTCCTGTTCCTTGCGCTTCAGCCATTCGGGGATGAAGGTATCCGGGTGTTCCGGGTGGGTGGGGGGTACGCAGCCGTAGTTGAGCAGGCAGTAAACCCCACTCGCTGTAGCTTGACTGCTGGGATAGACGTCCTTGGAGGTATTTGGCTGGCTTCCGGGAGAGGGTGCTGACGGGTCTTGAGACCCGATGGCCGCGGTGGTCTGGAGTCTTGCTTGTGCTGCAGCCTATAGCGGGGGAACAACCAGGGGAGACAATGGACAACCGTTCCGCAAGTTCGCACCAATTGTGGTGGTCGTTCACATGCATATGGTCCGTTCGGGCAAATATTCACAATCTTGTTTTTCGCGATATCTTTCGAAAAAAAACGATTTGGAAAGTGAAACAACTTTGGGCGTGACCGCGGCGTCGAGCTTCGTCGATATCCGATGAGGTTTTGGTGATTGGGTGAAATGCGACATGTTGAACCAAAATGACCCACGGAGCCCCCACCTCCTCATGATCCCACGGAGCCCCCAAAGTACACCACGACCCCCCCTCAACCCCTCCCTTCTACACGTATATGCCTTCAGAACATCAGTTAAACCGTTGTCAATCCATATTTACATTATTTACACGTTACATATGTACATACATACATACAATACCGCCGTGTACTTTCTACTCAACCCCTGGCTGGTGAAGGTGCTGCAAACAAAGCATGCAGCAATCACATCCGTTCTCTCTAAGCAAGTCCGATACCAAGAGAGACAGCTGTAGCGTTGAGTTGGTCACCATGACGAACGCCTCTACCGCGCCTAAACGCGAGAAACCAACACTACAACACACCGCGACATGTAGGTACGCACCCTCCCCACTCACGCCTGAGAGTGCCCGCCCTACCATTTCCTCAAAAAAT